TGGCCTTGTTTATATTTTGATTGTGCTATTACTAAAAAAAATCCCATATGTTGCACACTTAGGGGAGAGACGGTGAATTGTACGCACCTAAGGAAAAAGAAAGATATTTTCTAAAATATGGCTCATGGAGCTCTGAAATTTGGCATAGATATTCTTCTGTGTTATAGCTGACAGCCCAAATCAACCAAAGATCACAAAGAAAATATTCTGAGCCTAGGGACAAAATTAGATAAAAACTGACACTGCGCACGATTATCCACCCTATGCGGTTAATGGTGCGCACTAGTCAGGGCAATTGTGCGCAACAGAAAACTATTGAAAACTATCGGATATAAAGGGTGGATTAAAAACAAGTGAAACAAAGTAGGTACATAATACGTTTATTGCAAACATAATATTAAACTAAATTATTGCATAAAAACCATAACTAGTGGTCGCAAAAGTCGCAGATGTAACATTCGGGGGAGTCTACCCCAATGCAAAGCTTATGGACCCATTTGCCGCAGATCGCACACTGAAACCCAGTATTCGTCTTTCTTGCTCCAGTCGTCGCAAACCAAACATCTGTCTCCGAGATTGACCTTCGTGTCATCAAGTTCATCATCATCACATAACTGGCTGTCTGAGACTTCTTCTTCAGATTCACTTTCCTCAAAAACCTTCCTTTTAACGGTCTTATTATTTTTCTTTCTTTTGCGAATTGTGGATTCAGGTATTCCAAACCTTCGCCCAGCATCTCTAATTGCCCCACCATTTGGAACAAATAATATAGCTTTTTCCATTGTATCTACGTCCCAGGTTGCTTTATTTGTTTTTCGGGCATATTTTGGCATCTGAAACAATGAAAATATGTATTCATAATAAATAGTTTAAAAATGTAAGAGAACGGATAATTGTGCGCGATGCGCACAATTAGCCAACATGGACCTAATTGTAATAAAAATTCACAAAAATAAAATTGTAAGTTATTTACCTTGTAATAGTAGGAACAGTAGGTAATAGTAGGAACCCCACTGATTATTTTGGTGAAATTTCCGAAACAGGAATGTTCTTATTTTCAAAGTTATCGCTTGTTTTCACCCGCTTAAATTTTAATATAAACAGTCGGATGAACCGCCAAACACGATCACCGATATGTTTAAGCAGCAAATCGCATGAAAGTCAGCGTTACTTTCAAAGACATCTATGAGACGGCGCCACGTGTACGAATTTGATCAAATAATCGGCGTTTTCGTATGGTATTATGGTGCGCACCATTAGCCGCTGCGCACGTTTAACCGACTTCCCCCTAAGTAATGACACTGTAGATCCCGAAGTTTTTTTTCCATTCTTGAGAAAACATGTAAACGTAAAGCCAGCAGTCCCTAATTAAAAAAAAAATCTGTAACTCAGTTAATAATTAATCAATTCTATTTTTTCTTGGACTATTTAGGAGCACCTAAAAAGCACCTAATTCTGATACAAAGAAAAAATTTGAAAAAATATTTTTTACTATAAGGGAGTGCTAACTTTTATAAACCTAGCAGTTCCTTAGTTTTTTTTTATTTTCTCAGAAACTAAAGGAGCACCTAATTTTTAATTAGAGGCCCTAATTAGCACCTAAAAAGCACCTAATTATTATATAGTTCCCAAAGTTTTTTTCCACCTTGGGACTGCTAGGTTTATAGACCTACAAAACTAGAGATTGAAGTTTACCGGTAATTTTCATTTGTTCTTTCTCAGTGGTAATTTTTTGGTAATTTTGGAAATATTTTATGAAACAAACAAATGAGACCATATACTACATATACGTTCAAGGATTATATACTTACAGGATTTTTTACCTAAACAACTATTTATCATAATAGTGTTTGTTGTAAAACCTAACCTCGTAGAAATATAGCAATAAACAAATAATAATACCTAATTCCTAGAACGAAAAACGAGTAAGGAGAATCAAACAAAAATAAAACAGAAATAAATTCTCCTAATAAGATGCACAAAAACATTCGTGGAAAAACATTACACCTAACTCTTGCGGAGAATGTCTTTTCCACCCTTGACCACATCCCTTGACAGCTTGCCAACTGCAGCCGCGGGCGGAAAAGCACCACTTTCTGCACTTGTTAGGTCAATAACTATTTGTTTATGTCAACCCTGAAAGCGCGTTATACAGATTCACTAGTAGATGGCTAATAATGCATGAGAAGGATTGTCGCCTAATGTGATTTAATTCAGGAAGTCTTTCTGAAAATTACCGGTAAAGAAATTTGTCAGGTTAAATTACCAAAATTACCGTAACCGCGGTAACGTTACCACACTTCAATCTCTATACAAAACCATCATTATTGCGTTCGATCGTTACGTTTCCCCATTGATAAAAGATAACGAGCACATAATGCGTAGAAGAGTAGTGGGAAATCGTTTTATTATCAATGGACCTCAGCAGAAACGATCATCGAATTTTAAAAACGATTTGAATAATACTTATTTCAAGAAAGCGTTGGTGAGATTTTTATGTGAACATTGGAATCAGGTTCATATGAGTCCTTACTTTGGTTTGCTTTGGTGACCGAACTGTTTTCGTAAACTATGAGAAATGTTTCAAGTTCCAAGTAATTGATAATAAGGTTTTCAGAACAGTAGAGGAAGATTTGTCATGCTCTGAACATTTGGAAGCTGACTCTTTCATTTTTATGCTTGATTTGAATCAAATAATCAATCCAAAAAATTTAAAGTGAAAATCGGTCACTTGAATTTTCCAACTTTTCCGACTGCTTCAAACCTCTGACTGACAATGTTTCCCCCGTCGAAAGCGTGACTGACGAATATTTTCACGTTTAATTATCAATATAACATTCTAACAAATTTTCATGTGCAGATTATTTACTTTTTTTTATAGCTTTTCCGACGACTTCCACAGCCTCCCACACTCACACCCACCGCGGTCGCGCTAGGGACGGAGCCATGGGGGGGGTGGCGCCCCCCCCCCCAAAGTTCCTAAAATATATCGAAATTTGGGAAAACTAGGATAAAAAAGTTGGAGTTGGGAAAATTGGTAGACAAAAATTTGCGCAACTTATTTGCGGGGACTAATTAAAATTAACATTAGGATCGTGTCACGTGTCGTAATGAATTGCAAAATCACCGGACAACAGAATGACGAAATCCCAATGGTCGCAGCGAATTTCTTGCGTTGCACTTTGCACTGCACTAACGCCACTAGCCTGTGGCAGTGGCACGTGACACTTGTGGCAGAAGTAGCATTAGCGCCACTAGCGCTATATAGTATATTAGATAATCCAAATTTCTTATATTATGTCGCCTTCTGCGTTCTGCGCATTCTTCGCTCGCTATTCAGATTTCAGCCTAACTCTGAATCCTGGTGCTCTTGAGTTAAAGAAATAGTTTTTAAAAAGTTTCACTTCCTAACACGTGTACGATGCTACACATGATTTTTTTGAAGTGAAACTTCTTAGGCGGCGGTCTGATTTGGACGAGAATGGAATTACACGTTTTGGCAAATTTCGGCTCACGAGAGACGAGAGAGAAGAAAGATATAACGTAGAAAGGCGGAGAAAGTCAGCGAATGATAATGACAGCCGACGAACAATTGACACAAACCAAGTGAGAGAGCGTGAGTCACAGCGAGTTTTTGTGAACCTAAGTAAGAATTGGCGAAATTCCTGTACCAATAGATGGCGCTAAATTACGCGAAAAATAGCAATATGTCTGCCGAACTCAGTGAACAACAAAGCCAGTTTTTTGAGGTTAGTTTTTGTTAGATTGTGTTTTATGGCGTTTTTGTGATTTATATAACAGAAACAATACATAAGAAGAATAATATTCTGTAGAAAATTGAAAACTTCCAGAAACAATGCCGGGGGCCAAATGCAAACTTGCTTTGTTGTTCACTGAGTTTTGAGTACCAAAGTTGATCATAGATGTCGCCTACTTCGGGACCTTTCGCGAATAGGTAATGCGTGTATTACTTCGCAGCGTGACGTGACGCAGTTTTGGTCCTGCGGAACGCAGTGTATTTGCCGCAGTTTTGGTCCTGCGGAACGCAGTGTATTTGCCGCAGTTTTTCTCGTAGAGTCACGGTGCGTGTTCTGAATGTTTCGAAAATTAATTGAGGCCGTGCGGATTCGACAAGTTTCGCGAACAAAACTAAAAACTGAAAAGCAGCAGCTGCCATTTTATCTGCACTGTGGGTCTGCCTGCGAAGTGAAAACTGTCATTGTATTTGCGCGGTTACTCTTGTCAAGCGCCGATACCCTTGTGACGTCAATACAGATGCGCGTTTATCTTTTATGTCGCAATCTACAATCTACAATCTTTCGTCTCTATACCCCGACTCATCCGCTACATGTGATTTTTTTTATGTTTTAATAAAGTTGGGAAAATTAGGAATGTGACCCCCCCCCCCCCCCAAACCAGAGGCCTTCGCTACGTCCCTGGGTCGCGCTGACTGACTTTCAATTTTGATCACAGTAATGGTGAAACTCTTCAATAAATCACATTTGAGTCGGAGATAAATCACTAATAATAAAGTGACACTACCTCCCGGACTATAAATTATACTATTTGAAGCCGAAATCTATGAAAAAAGGCACTCAGAAAAATTGAAAAATTGATAAATCACCTCAAATTGCTTAACACGATTTTATCTCAGGAACTATAAGTCCAAATGAGTTGAAATTTTCAGGAATTGTAGTCCTCTACTGGGATAAGAATCGCTGAAAATTTCAGCTTTCTATCTAGAATAGAAAAAAAGTTATGGGTCTTCAAAATTTGTAAACATCCAAATCATAAGGTAGCTAGCTACCTACCTTAGTAAGACCTACCTTAGTACTTAAATGATGAAATTTCAAATTTTTTCATGTTGAGATTTTGCGTTTATATCAACTTCGAATTGTTTCAAATTGATTTTAAATTGTTCTTGGTTCTTGGTATGTCAAAATTGGTTCCAGAGTGTTCTGAATTGTCTGGATCGACTCTCACTGATTTTAAAATGTTCTAAAAAGTTTCTTATCCAGTTCTACAAGGTTTATAAAATCTCTAGATATTATTAAACCTGTTAAAAAAATAAACGGGAGTGTTTTTGAAATTTCTGAATTAATTTTTGGAACGTTCCAAAATAACTCAATCGATTTGTTCTTTTCCAAAGAATTTTGAAATGTCATTGTTTCTGAATCACATATCTGGACATAGAAAAATAGAAATTTAAGAGTAGCTAACTTGGAAAATTGTTGGTAAGTATAGAATTTACTAACTTTTTCCTCCTTCTTTGGCATGTATAATATCCATCAATATCTCCTACAAAAAAAAAAAAAAAAAAACACCCGCAAATTTAAATTGATGGAATCGTTGTTGAGAGACGCTTATTAAAAAAGTTCTCGGGCGAAAATTGAAAATTTCACGTACGGGCGCCCCCTGATTTATGCAATGTCACTTTTCCTTAAACGTTTTTCCTTCCCTCACCGGTAAATTATTAACGATCCAAAGGATTTAATTAATATAAAACCCTATAGAGTTATAAATCTTTATCTGATAAAAAAAAAATATCATCCCTCCTGAAACAATAACTCCCTCTAATATAATTGACAGGAATGAAAAATGTGCCTGGCCGTATATATTTTATAAAAGCCAGAAAGATTTATAATAAAGCAGTCAAAAAGTGTATTGTTTTTTTTTTCCACCCCCGGATAAGGGAAACTTTTGGTTAAAAGGGGGATGTTAATATGAGGGCTTTGTTTTATATTTGAGAATTATTCGGCCACAGTATAATGAGAAAAACCCCAAAAAAAAAATATATAAAACGAATCAGTCATCTTTTGTCAATTAATTTTGTGGCTTTTCCAATGAAAAATTAAAATTGAAACTCATCATGGCCCCACGTTGGGCGCCAATTTGTAAGTTAATTTTTGGGATTAGTGTCGTTGGGATTAGGAAATTTTGTTACAATATAAAGAAAAACTAAAAAACTTTATTCGTAAACAAAATAAGCATCTCTATTCTAAATAAGTCAATAAATCAAAAAAATTAAAGATAAATACATAATAGAAAAAAAAAAAACATTATTCTTAAACCTAAATCAGCATTAAATAATTCACAATTGCATTGTGGTTAACCCATTAAAAAAAAATAACTTTATAAAATAACAAAAACAAGAAAACTTATTCCTTTTCCTCCAAACTCAACTCCTCGGTTTCTGTCAAAACGATTTTTGGAATTTCTGTTTGAAGTTTTTCAGTAACTTCTTCATTTTTTACAATATTTGAATCTCCTTCAGAATCATTTGATTCTAGATTTTTTGAAACTTGTTCTTTGTCAGTTACTGATGGCCCATTATTAACCAACTCTTTTTCTTCATTTACTACTTTTTCCAAGTTATTTTGAACCTCTACAATATCCTTATCAAGCTGTGAAAGTTCCTCCAATAATAAATCGTCTTTGGTCAGTTTTTCATCGATTTTTGGTTCTTCTGCAGGTTTGAAGGCGTTTAAACGAGAAAGTATGGCTTTGTGAAGATCTTCGTTATCAGCTAATTGAGCTAAATGGGCTGAGAACTTCAAAGTGTCAATATCGGAGCGTCTGAAAAGCACTGCAGCAGCTTCGTTGTATTTTTCCAAAGAAATATAACTGAAAAATGATTATAAATTAGTTGTAAGTTGGATTATATTTCTTAAAATTTTCTCTGTATTAGTTTTGCAGGAAAGCTTTGAAATATATGGAATATAGTTTTCTCACAAAATTGAAGAAATTTCAACTTTAAAGACTAATAATTCAGAAACGTGATATATCTGGCAATTCTGTATAAAGCCATTTAATTCTCTATCAAATGAAGCATGATACAATGTAATCGGTCCAGGCGTTCCAGAGTTATGGCCCATTTAATCAGGCCATGTCAGGCTGGAAAAGTCCCCCCATGGATTATCTTTTTTATTTTTTTTCAAACATAGGAGACGTCCTAAGGGAAAATACCAAATAGCTTTTCCGCTTGTTTTGACCTCTTTTATACACTGGAGTTTTTGTTTTTCGAAAATTCGAAAAATTTTGATTTTCCAATTTTTGGGGTATAGAAAAGAACCGGAAACTCGTGGAAAAGCAAAAAATTTGGGAAGAAAAAGTTAGGTTCCACATTACACTAGACCTCATCTATGACGTATTTAAAAAAAATCCAGGGAATTTTGACTTTGAGTTTTTGACCAAAAAAAATCATAACCCAATAATTTTGAAATTTCCAAGTGGAATATCTCGAAAATGGTAAGCCGTAGAGGAAAGACTCAAAAAAACTTTTTTGTAGATCTTGACGAACTCTACAATCTGCCCCTGAAGAGTTTTCCTCTACAACTTACTGTTACTGAATTATGGCCAGTTGAAGTTTCAATTTTCGTCATTTTCAGACATGTTGGTATAGAGCAAAAAATCAAAGTCAAAATTTTGAAAATTCAAGATAGCTATTTTGTATAATGGATCTCAAGAAGTTCTAAAACCAACTTTTTTTCCCTTGATTTTCTCATTTTCCAGGACTTTTCCAGTTTTTTTTTTAAATTGAATGCAGCCTCTTGTAATTATTTTTTTTTCTAGAAAACTATCCAAAGGAAAATTATGAAATTTTTTGGAGAGAAAGAGGAAAGTAAAGAGCTCATTATAGGAAAATTTCAAAATTTTCCCATTAAAAATCACTTCAGGAAAAATTCCGGAAAATCACTTTTTTAAGTCAAATTAATCAAAAGTCACCCTCTTACATTTTAATTTTTTTCTGGAAAAGTAGCAGAGAGAAAATTGTGAAATTTTCAAAAGAGTAAGAGGAAAGTAAAGAGCTCATTATAGAAAAATTTCAAAATTTTCCTATTAAAAATCACTCCAGTAAAAATTCCGGAAAATCACTTTTTCAAGTCAAATTAATCAAAAATCACCCTCTTACATTTTAATTTTTTTCTGAAAAAATGGCAGAGAGAAAATTGTGAAATTTTCAGAAGAGTAAGAGGAAAGTAAAGAGCTCATTATAGGAAAATTTCAAAATTTTCCCATTCGAAATCACTTCAGGAAAAATTCCGGAAAATCACTTTTTTAGGTCAAATTAAGCAAAAGTCACCTCTTACATTTTAGTTTTTTTCTGAAAAAGTAGCAGAGAGAAAATTATGAAATTTTCAGAGGAGTAAGAGGAAAGTAAAGAGCTCATTATAGGAAAATTTCAAAATTTTCCTATTAAAAATCACTCCAGGAAAAATTCCGGAAAATCACTTTTTTAGGTCAAATTAAGCAAAAGTCACCCTCTTACATTTTAATTTTTTTCTGGAAAAATAGTAGAGAGAAAATTGTGAAATTTTCAGAGGTGTAAGAGGAAAGTAAAGAGCTCATTATAGGAAAATTTCAAAATTTTCCCATTAGAAATCATTTCAGGAAAAATTCCGGAAAATCACTTTTTTAGGTCAAATTAAGCAAAAGTCACCCTCTTACATTTTAATTTTTTTCTGGAAAAGTAGCAGAGAGAAAATGGTGAAATTTTCAGAGGAGTAAGAGGAAAGTAAAGAGCTCATTATAGGAAAATTTCAAAATTTTCCCCTTAAAAATCACTTCAGGAAAAATTCCGGAAAATCAATTTTTTAAGTCAAATTAAGCAAAAGTCGCCCTCTTACATTTTAATTTTTTTCTGGAAAAGTAGCAGAGAGAAAATTGTGAAACTTTCAGAGGGGTAAGAGGAAAGTGAAGAGCTCATTATAGGAAAATTTCAAAATTTTTCCATTAAAAATCACTTCAGGAAAAATTCCGGAAAATCACTTTTTTAGGTCAAATTAAGCAAAAGTCACCTCTTACATTTTAGTTTTTTTCTGAAAAAGTAGCAGAGAGAAAATTGTGAAATTTTCAGAGGAGTAAGAGGAAAGTAAAGAGCTCATTATAGGAAAATTTCAAAATTTTCCCCTCTAAAAATCACTTCAGGAAAAATTCCGGAAAATCACTTTTTTAAGTCAAATTAAGCAAAAGTCACCCTCTTACATTTTAATTTTTTTCTGGAAAAGTAGCAGAGAGAAAATTGTGAAATTTTCAAAGAAGTAGGAGGAAATTGAAGAGCTCATTATAGAAAAATTTCAAAATTTTTCCATTAAAAATCACTTCAGGAAAAATTCCGGAAAATCACTTTTTTAAGTCAAATTAAGCAAAAGTCACCCTCTTACATTTTAATTTTTCTCTGGAAAAGTAGCAGAGAGAAAATTGTGAAATTTTTCGAGGAGTAAAAGGAAAGTAGAGAGCTTATTAGGGGAAAATTTCAAAATTTTCCCATTAAAAATCATTTCAGGAAAAATTTTGGAAAATCATTTTTTCAAGTCAAATTAATCAAAAATCACCCTCTTACATTTTAATTTTTTTCTGAAAAAATGGCAGAGAGAAAATTGTGAAATTTTCAGAAGAGTAAGAGGAAAGTAAAGAGCTCATTATAGGAAAATTTCAAAATTTTCCCATTAGAAATCATTTCAGGAAAAATTCCGGAAAATCACTTTTTTAGGTCAAATTAAGCAAAAGTCACCTCTTACATTTTATTTTTTTTCTGGAAAAGTAGCAGAGAGAAAATTGTGAAATTTTCAGAGGAGTAAGAAAAAAGTGAAAAGCTCATTATAGGAAAATTTTAAAATTTTCCCATTAAAAATCACTCCAGGAAAAATTCCGGAAAATCACTTTTTTACGTCAAATTAAGCAAAAGTCACCCTCTTATATTTTTATTTTTTTCCGGAAAAGTAGCAGAGAGAAAATTGTGAAATTTTCAGAGGAGTAAGAGGAAAGTAAAGAGCTCATTATAGGAAAATTTCAAAATTTTCCCCTCTAAAAATCACTTCAGGAAAAATTCCGGAAAATCACTTTTTTAAGTCAAATTAAGCAAAAGTCACCCTCTTACATTTTAATTTTTTTCTGGAAAAATAGTAGAGAGAAAATTGTGAAATTTTCAGAGGTGTAAGAGGAAAGTAGAGAGCTTATCATAGGAATATTTCAAAATTTTCCCATTAAAAATCACTTCAAGAAAAATTCCGGAAAATCGACATTTTAATTTTTTTCTGGAAAAATAGTAGAGAGAAAAATTGTGAAATTTTCAGAGGTGTAAGAGGAAAGTAGAGAGCTTATCATAGGAATATTTCAAAATTTTCCCATTAAAAATCACTTCAGGAAAAATTCCGGAAAATCACTTTTTTAGGTCAAATTAAGCAAAAGTCACCCTCTTACATTTTAATTTTTTTCTGGAAAAGTAGCAGAGAGAAAATTGTGAAATTTTCAAAGAAGTAGGAGGAAATTGAAGAGCTCATTATAGAAAAATTTCAAAATTTTTCCATTAAAAATCACTTCAGGAAAAATTCCGGAAAACCACTTTTTTAAAATCAAATTAAGCAAAAAGTCACTTTCTTACATTTTAATTTTTCTCTGGAAAAGTAGCAGAGAGAAAATTGTGAAATTTTTTATAGGAGTAATAGGAAAGTAAAGAGCTCATTATAGGAAAATTTCAAATTTTTCCTATTAAAAATCACTTCAGGAAAAATTCTGAAAAATCACTTTTTTAGGTCAAATTAAGCAAAAGTCACCCTCTTACATTTTAATTTTTTTCTGGAAAAGTAGCAGAGAGAGAAAATTGTGAAATTTTCAGAGGGAGTAAGAGGAAAGTAAAGAGCTCATTATAGGAAAATTTCAAAATTTTCCCCTCTAAAAATCACTTCAGGAAAAATTCCGGAAAATCACTTTTTTAAGTCAAATTAAGCAAAAGTCACCCTCTTACATTTTAATTTTTTTCTGGAAAAGTAGCAGAGAGAAAATTGTGAAATTTTCAGAGGAGTAAGAGGAAAGTAAAGAGCTCATTATAGGAAAATTTCAAAATTTTCCCATTAGAAATCATTTCAGGAAAAATTCCGGAAAATCACTTTTTTAAGTCAAAATTAAGCAAAAGTCACCCTCTTACATTTTAATTTTTTTCTAGAAAAGTAGCAGAGAGAAAATTGTGAAATTTTCAGAGGAGTAAGAGGAAAGTAAAGAGCTCATTATAAGTAAATTTCTAAATTTTCCCATTAGAAATCATTTCAGGAAAAATTCCGGAAAATCACTTTTTTAGGTCAAATTAAGCAAAAGTACATTTTAATTTTTTTCCGGAAATGTAGCAAAGAGAAAATTGTGAAATTTTTAAAGGAGTAAGAGAAAAGTGAAAAGCTCATTATAGGAAAATTTTAAAATTTTCCCATTAAAAATCACTCCAGAAAAAATTCTGAAAACTCACTTTTTTAGGTCAAATTAAGCAAAAGTCACCTCTTACATTTTAGTTTTTTTCTGAAAAAGTAGCAGAGAGAAAATTATGAAATTTTCAGAGGAGTAAGAGGAAAGTAAAGAGCTCATTATAGGAAAATTTCAAAATTTTCCCCTTAAAAATCACTTCAGGAAAAATTCCGGAAAATCACTTTTTTGAGTCAAATTAAGCAAAAGTCACCCTCTTACATTTTAATTTTTTTCTGGAAAACTAGCAGAGAGAAAATTGTGAAATTTTCAGAGGAGTAAGAGGAAAGTGAAGAGCTCATTATAAGAAAATTTCAAAATTTTCCCATTAAAAATCACTTCAAGAAAAATTCCAGAAAATCACTTTTTTACGTCAAATTAAGCAAAAGTCACCCTCTTATATTTTTATTTTTTTCCGGAAAAGTAGCAGAGAGAAAATTGTGAAATTTTCAGAGGAGTAAGAGGAAAGTAAAGAGCTCATTATAGGAAAATTTCAAAATTTTCCTATTAAAAATCAATCCTGGAAAACTGCCGGAAAATCACTTTTTTAGGTCAAATTAAGCAAAAGTCACCCTCTTATATTTAATAATTTTTTTCCGGAAAAGTAGCAGAGAGAAAATTGTGAAATTTTCGGAGGAGTAAGAGAAAAGTGAAAAGCTCATTATAGGAAAATTTTAAAATTTTCCCATTAAAAATCACTCCAGGAAAAATTCTGAAAAATCACTTTTTTAGGTCAAATTAAGCAAAAGTCACCCTCTTACATTTTAATTTTTTTCTGGAAAAGTAGCAGAGAGAAAATTGTGGAATTTTCCGAGGAGTAAGAGGAAAGTAAAGAGCTCATTATAGGGAAAATTTCAAAATTTTCCCCCTTAAAAATCACTTCAGTGAAAAATTCCGGAAAATCACTTTTTTGAGTCAAATTAAGCAAAAGTCACCCTCTTACATTTTAATTTTTTTCTGGAAAAGTAGCAGAGAGAAAAATTGTGGAATTTTTCCGAGGAGTAAGAGGAAAGTAAAGAGCTCATTATAGGAAAATTTCAAAATTTTCCTATTAAAAATCACTCCAGGAAAAATTCCGGAAAATCACTTTTTTAGGTCAAATTAAGCAAAAGTCACCTCTTACATTTTAATTTTTTTCTGGAAAAGTAGCAGAGAGAAAATTGTGGAATTTTCCGAGGAGTAAAAGGAAAGTAGAGAGCTTATTAGGGGAAAATTTCAAAATTTTCCCATTAAAAATCATTTCAGGAAAAATTTTGGAAAATCATTTTTTCAAGTCAAATTAATCAAAAATCACCCTCTTACATTTTAATTTTTTTCTGAAAAAATGGCAGAGAGAAAATTGTGAAATTTTCAGAAGAGTAAGAGGAAAGTAAAGAGCTCATTATAGGAAAATTTCAAAATTTTCCCATTCGAAATCACTTCAGGAAAAATTCCGGAAAATCACTTTTTTAGGTCAAATTAAGCAAAAGTCACCTCTTACATTTTAGTTTTTTTCTGAAAAAGTAGCAGAGAGAAAATTATGAAATTTTCAGAGGAGTAAGAGGAAAGTAAAGAGCTCATTATAGGAAAATTTCAAAATTTTCCTATTAAAAATCACTCCAGGAAAAATTCCGGAAAATCACTTTTTTAGGTCAAATTAAGCAAAAGTCGCCCTCTTACATTTTAATTTTTTTTCTGGAAAAGTAGCAGAGAGAAAATTGTGAAATTTTCGGAGGTGTAAGAGGAAAGTAAAAGAGCTCATTATAGGAAAATTTCAAAATTTTCCCATTAGAAATCATTTCAGGACAAATTCCGGAAAAATCACTTTTTTAGGTCAAATTAAGCAAAAGTCACCCTCTTACATTTTAATTTTTTTCTGGAAAAGTAGCAGAGAGAAAATGGTGAAATTTTCAGAGGAGTAAGAGGAAAGTAAAGAGCTCATTATAGGAAAATTTCAAAATTTTCTCATTGAAAATCACTCCAGGAAAAATTCCGGAAAATCACTTTTTTAGGTCAAATTAAGCAAAGTCACCCTCTTACATTTTAATTTTTTTCTGGAAAAGTAGCAGAGAGAAAATTGTGAAACTCTCAGAGGGGTAAGAGGAAAGTAAAGAGCTCGTTATAGGAAAATTTCAAAATTTTCCCATTAAAAATCACTTCAGGAAAAATTCCGGATAATCACTTTTTTAGGTCAAATTAAACAAAAGTCACCTTCTTACATTTTAATTTTTTTCTGGAAAAGTAGCAGAGAGAAAATTGTGAAATTTTCAGAGGAGTAAGAGGAAAGTAAAGAGCTCATTATAGGAAAATTTCAAAATTTTCCCATTAGAAATCATTTCAGGAAAAATTCCGGAAAATCACTTTTTTAGGTCAAATTAAGCAAAAGTACATTTTAATTTTTTTCTGGAAATGTAGCAGAGAGAAAATTGTGAAATTTTCAGAGGAGTAAGAGGAAAGTAAAGAGCTCATTATAGGAAAATTTTAAAATTTTCCCATTAAAAATCACTCCAGGAAAAATTCTGAAAAATCACTTTTTTAGGTCAAATTAAGCAAAAGTCACCTCTTACATTTTAGTTTTTTTCTGAAAAAATAGCAGAGAGAAAATTATGAAATTTTCAGAAGAGTAAGAGGAAAGTAAAGAGCTCATTATAGGAAAATTTCAAAATTTTCCCATTAAAAATCACTCCAGGAAAAATTCCGGAAAATCACTTTTTTAGGTCAAATTAAGCAAAAATCACCTTCTTACATTTCAATTTTTTTACTGGAAAACCAGCAAAGGGGAAAATTGTGAAATTTTTAGAGAATTAAGAGGAAACAGAAGAGCACATTATAAAAAAAAATCAAAATTTTCTAGTGGAAAATCATTCTAGGAAAAATTTTGGAAAATCAACCTAAAAGTGAAATATAACAATCTTTCATAAATTGAGCAATTTCTCAAAAACTATACAAACCACAAAAATGAAATTTTGTAGCATTATTTTTAAGACATTAGAGCACAACATACTAAAAATTCAAACTTCTTACCATCCTGCTGCCCACTCAAAATTGCCTTGATAAGTGGCCTTTTTAGCCCACTCTTCAGCTACCTGGGCCGTTAAAGCAGCCCCTGCACCAAATCGGCCTTTGGCCAACGTAAAAGCTTCTCTGTAAAGCTCACGCTCACGTAAAAAGTTTACAGCTTCCTCAACACGATGACAAACAAGCATGTAAGTCACAATTTCCATAGGATCAGCTTCAGGCTCCTCTATAAGCTGCTCAACATAAGTATCACAAGCTGTTTGCCACAACCTAAAAAAAAATATATACATAAAATGATGATTTTTTTTTATGAAAATATTCATTGAGTTACTTTGGTGATACCATAGGACACACACTGATAATCCAAGCATCAACTCTTCTATGTTCGATAGCTTCTTTAATAGCCTCTTTGAGGTCTCCTTGGAAAAGAGCCAACAAATTAGCTCGTTTAAATTGGCCTTGTTTTTTGAAGTTTTTTACTAAAAAACAAACAAATTATTCAATCTATAAAACAAATAATTTGCAATTATATTACAATTTAACGAGAAAAGTTTCTCCATGTTGCCACTGTCACCTAAAATATCTAGAATACTGACAAGATTTTCGTTTGAATCACTAGTGTTTTCAAGTTTGTTTTGGAGCAATATTTCCAAGTTTTGGATCTAAAAACATTGATTAATTTAAAATAGACAAACAAGCATCATTTACCCAGTCTTTAGGGCTGTAAAACAAAGGCACAATTTCAGATTTGCTGGCAGGTTTCGGTTTGACTGGTTCTTCTTTGGCTTTAACTTGTTTGTTCAACAAATCCCCAACCTCTTTTTGTAGGGTTTTTGTTATTTTATTTTTACGACTATTTATATCTGAAAGTTGTATGTAAAATATCAATATACTAGAACTGTTTTTGGCTTCTTACCTTTTTCAGTCATTGCAGGATTCTCTGATATCTTCCAAATAATAATTTTATGCGATATTGTTCCAGTTATAATGAAATCTGGATCCAAAGGGCTCCAATATACGGACAAAAGCTGATCCAAAGCTGGGCTTATGTAGGTAGAAACGATGTTTTGAGCTTCAACATCAAAAACCTATCAAAAGTTTAATTATTTATTCTAGAATATTTTGCTAGGTACTTACTTGGGCAGCTCCACAATCGTCAACCAGAACTAGTAAATTGCCTGAATGTGGGCTCCAAGCAAAATCCCCAATTTTTACTCCACGGTTTTCGAATTTCGCAGTAATTTTACAATCTTCTTCAGCATTTAAGTCCATTACAATTATTTCTGAGTGTTTTATTAAAGAGGCAAAAGTATTTGAGTATTTTGAGTCATTGGTATCATTGCTGACAGCATCTGGGTGCCATTTTATTGACAACAGCTTATTGCTGAGATATGAGATGCTTTGAATTTCCAATTTAGGATTGTAAGTGATTATGGTGCCTGTGCAAATTATTTATCAAATAAAATTCCAATAATTCAAGTTGTTTTTACCTGATTTTGCTGAAACCAAAAGCATGCTGTAGTCAGGTTTCCAAGCCATGGTAAAAACTGAAGTATTATCGGGTAAAGGCAGCATTTCCGGGTCTTTTTCCCTGGATTCAGTACAAAAAATAGCCACTTTACTTTCACCGACAACAAACAACTGATTTTTGCCAGTTTCTGAATCAGCTGGGCCCCATTCCAGTTTAAAAATTTGAGATTTGAAGTAGTGTTTTAGTATTTTTGGGGCTTTGGATTTGTGGGCCACATCCAACACTCCAATCTACAAAAGCATTATTGTGTTATATATTTGATTTTAGATCTGGTTTATTTATCTTCAAATCACGATTTGAAGATGAATAAATTGGGTCTTAGTTTTCAAGTAAAACTGGATTCTTACTCGTCCTTCTGAGGTGCCCCAAGCCAGAAGATTTTCGTTGATTGGATGCCAAGCTAGGGCGGTTACAGAGCTCAGAATTTGGTTGTAAAAAACTGAAAAGTTTATGGATTTAATGTGAGGACGGCTCAGGTCCCAAGTGTTTATCAAGCCTTCTCCTGTACCAATAGCCAATCTAAAAAAAAAAAGAAAACTCAAACTCAAATGGGCAATTTCCTTAGTAATGTGTTTTTAATTTTATTTTTATCAATATTTGATTAATTTTATCCATAAAAACCCAAATTTTTCAAAAAAAAAATTTAAGCATTTTTTTTTTCCAAAAGGGGTAGCCTTAAGATTTGGTTTTGCAAATTTTCAAACCTCAATATCTCTGTAACGGTAAGAGGTATCGAGTTTATTCTTTTACCAGATTGTAGCCCTCGTGAAATACTACAAAAAAAGTTCCATAAACAATTTAGCTACAATGCTTAGTTTTGCAGCTACACGGCCTTTAAGTTTTATGCCAAAAGTTGACTAAGTTTCAACTTTGAAACCTTATATCTCCAAAACAACTAAAGCTATTTGATTCAATCTGATGCAATTTTGTAGAGAATTTAATCCTCTTTCCAACTGTATGTACTTCTATTTGATTTAATGTAGAATTAGTGAAGTTATAAGTGATTGTTCACTAGCATGTCAGGATATAAAAGAGTTTTCAGGACCGAAGATGAGCTTTTTTTACTCAAGAGAAAATAGCTTTATTATGATGATTCTCAGGGATTGTAGTCCACTACTGAGATAAGAATCGCTGAAAATTTCAGCTTTCTATCTATAATAGAAAAAAAGTTATGACTTTCCAAAGTTTTCCAAAATCTAAATCATAAGGTAGGTACCTTCTTACTAAAACGATGAAATTTCAATTTTTTTTTTGTTGAGATTTTGTGTCCTAATGGTCATTTGGGATCCACCAAACTCCATACACTAACTTATTCTCAGATTTGAAGTCGAAATCTATGAAAAAAGGCACTCAGAAAAATTGAAAAATCGATAAATCACCCCAAATTGCTTAACAGGATTTTATCTCAGGAACTATGAGTCCAAATGAACTGAAATTTTCAGGAATTATAGTCCTCTACTGGGATAAGAATCGCTGAAAATTTCAGCTTTCTATCTATAATAGAAAAAAAGTTATGACTTTCCAAAGTTTTCCAAAATCTAAATCATAAGGTAGCTACCTTCTTACTAAAACGATGAAATTTCAATTTTTTTTTTGTTGAGATTTTGTGTCCTAATGGTCATTTGGGATCCCCCAAACTCCATACACTAACTTATTCTCAGATTTGGAGCGGAAATCTATGAAAAAAGGCACTCAGAAAAATTGAAAAATCGATAAATCACCCCAAATTGCTTAACAGGATTTTATCTCAGGAACTATGAGTCCAAATGAACTGAAATTTTCAGGAATTATAGTCCTCTACTGGGATAAGAATCGCTGAAAATTTCAGCTTTCTATCTATAATAGAAAAAAAGTTATGACTTTCCAAAGTTTTCCAAAATCTAAATCATAAGGTAGGTACCTTCTTACTAAAACGATGAAATTTCAATTTTTTTTTTGTTGAGATTTTGTGTCCTAATGGTCATTTGGGATCCACCAAACTCCATACACTAACTTATTCTCAGATTTGAAGTCGAAATCTATGAAAAAAGGCACTCAGAAAAATTGAAAAATCGATAAATCACCCCAAATTGCTTAACAGGATTTTATCTCAGGAACTATGAGTCCAAATGAACTGAAATTTTCAGGAATTATAGTCCTCTACTGGGATAAGAATCGCTGAAAATTTCAGCTTTCTATCTATAATAGAAAAAAAGTTATGACTTTCCAAAGTTTTCCAAAATCTAAATCATAAGGTAGCTACCTTCTTACTAAAACGATGAAATTTCAATTTTTTTTTTGTTGAGATTTTGTGTCCTAATGGTCATTTGGGATCCCCCAAACTCCATACACTAACTTATTCTCAGATTTGGAGCGGAAATCTATGAAAAAAGGCACTCAGAAAAATTGAAAAATCGATAAATCACCCCAAATTGCTTAACAGGATTTTATCTCAGGAACTATGAGTCCAAATGAACTGAAATTTTCAGGAATTATAGTCCTCTACTGGGATAAGAATCGCTGAAAATTTCAGCTTTCTATCTATAATAGAAAAAAAGTTATGACTTTCCAAAGTTTTCCAAAATCTAAATCATAAGGTAGCTACCTTCTTACTAAAACGATGAAATTTCAATTTTTTTTTTGTTGAGATTTTGTGTCCTAATGGTCATTTGGGATCCCCCAAACTCCATACACTAACTTATTCTCAGATTTGGAGCGGAAATCTATGAAAAAAGGCACTCAGAAAAATTGAAAAATCGATAAATCACCCCAAATTGCTTAACAGGATTTTATCTCAGGAACTATGAGTCCAAATGAACTGAAATTTTCAGGAATTATAGTCCTCTACTGGGATAAGAATCGCTGAAAATTTCAGCTTTCTATCTATAATAGAAAAAAAGTTATGACTTTCCAAAGTTTTCCAAAATCTAAATCATAAGGTAGCTACCTTCTTACTAAAACGATGAAATTTCAATTTTTTTTTTGTTGAGATTTTGTGTCCTAATGGTCATTTGGGATCCCCCAAACTCCATACACTAACTTATTCTCAGATTTGGAGCGGAAATCTATGAAAAAAGGCACTCAGAAAAATTGAAAAATCGATAAATCACCCCAAATTGCTTAACAGGATTTTATCTCAGGAACTATGAGTCCAAATGAACTGAAATTTTCAGGAATTATAGTCCTCTACTGGGATAAGAATCGCTGAAAATTTCAGCTTTCTATCTATAATAGAAAAAAAGTTATGACTTTCCAAAGTTTTCCAAAATCTAAATCATAAGGTAGGTACCTTCTTACTAAAACGATGAAATTTCAATTTTTTTTTTGTTGAGATTTTGTGTCCTAATGGTCATTTGGGATCCACCAAACTCCATACACTAACTTATTCTCAGATTTGAAGTCGAAATCTATGAAAAAAGGCACTCAGAAAAATTGAAAAATCGATAAATCACCCCAAATTGCTTAACAGGATTTTATCTCAGGAACTATGAGTCCAAATGAACTGAAATTTTCAGGAATTATAGTCCTCTACTGGGATAAGAATCGCTGAAAATTTCAGCTTTCTATCTATAATAGAAAAAAAGTTATGACTTTCCAAAGTTTTCCAAAATCTAAATCATAAGGTAGCTACCTTCTTACTAAAACGATGAAATTTCAATTTTTTTTTTGTTGAGATTTTGTGTCCTAATGGTCATTTGGGATCCCCCAAACTCCATACACTAACTTATTCTCAGATTTGGAGCGGAAATCTATGAAAAAAGGCACTCAGAAAAATTGAAAAATCGATAAATCACCCCAAATTGCTTAACAGGATTTTATCTCAGGAACTATGAGTCCAAATGAACTGAAATTTTCAGGAATTATAGTCCTCTACTGGGATAAGAATCGCTGAAAATTTCAGCTTTCTATCTATAATAGAAAAAAAGTTATGACTTTCCAAAGTTTTCCAAAATCTAAATCATAAGGTAGGTACCTTCTTACTAAAACGATGAAATTTCAATTTTTTTTTTGTTGAGATTTTGTGTCCTAATGGTCATTTGGGATCCACCAAACTCCATACACTAACTTATTCTCAGATTTGAAGTCGAAATCTATGAAAAAAGGCACTCAGAAAAATTGAAAAATCGATAAATCACCCCAAATTGCTTAACAGGATTTTATCTCAGGAACTATGAGTCCAAATGAACTGAAATTTTCAGGAATTATAGTCCTCTACTGGGATAAGAATCGCTGAAAATTTCAGCTTTCTATCTATAATAGAAAAAAAGTTATGACTTTCCAAAGTTTTCCAAAATCTAAATCATAAGGTAGCTACCTTCTTACTAAAACGATGAAATTTCAATTTTTTTTTTGTTGAGATTTTGTGTCCTAATGGTCATTTGGGATCCCCCAAACTCCATACACTAACTTATTCTCAGATTTGGAGCGGAAATCTATGAAAAAAGGCACTCAGAAAAATTGAAAAATCGATAAATCACCCCAAATTGCTTAACAGGATTTTATCTCAGGAACTATGAGTCCAAATGAACTGAAATTTTCAGGAATTATAGTCCTCTACTGGGATAAGAATCGCTGAAAATTTCAGCTTTCTATCTATAATAGAAAAAAAGTTATGACTTTCCAAAGTTTTCCAAAATCTAAATCATAAGGTAGCTACCTTCTTACTAAAACGATGAAATTTCAATTTTTTTTTTGTTGAGATTTTGTGTCCTAATGGTCATTTGGGATCCACCAAACTCCATACACTAACTTATTCTCAGATTTGAAGTCGAAATCTATGAAAAAAGGCACTCAGAAAAATTGAAAAATCGATAAATCACCCCAAATTGCTTAACAGGATTTTATCTCAGGAACTATGAGTCCAAATGAACTGAAATTTTCAGGAATTATAGTCCTCTACTGGGATAAGAATCGCTGAAAATTTCAGCTTTCTATCTATAATAGAAAAAAAGTTATGACTTTCCAAAGTTTTCCAAAATCTAAATCATAAGGTAGCTACCTTCTTACTAAAACGATGAAATTTCAATTTTTTTTTTGTTGAGATTTTGTGTCCTAATGGTCATTTGGGATCCACCAAACTCCATACACTAACTTATTCTCAGATTTGAAGTCGAAATCTATGAAAAAAGGCACTCAGAAAAATTGAAAAATCGATAAATCACCCCAAATTGCTTAACAGGATTTTATCTCAGGAACTATGAGTCCAAATGAACTGAAATTTTCAGGAATTATAGTCCTCTACTGGGATAAGAATCGCTGAAAATTTCAGCTTTCTATCTATAATAGAAAAAAAGTTATGACTTTCCAAAGTTTTCCAAAATCTAAATCATAAGGTAGCTACCTTCTTACTAAAACGATGAAATTTCAATTTTTTTTTTGTTGAGATTTTGTGTCCTAATGGTCATTTGGGATCCCCCAAACTCCATACACTAACTTATTCTCAGATTTGGAGCGGAAATCTATGAAAAAAGGCACTCAGAAAAATTGAAAAATCGATAAATCACCCCAAATTGCTTAACAGGATTTTATCTCAGGAACTA